GACTTTTCTAGATTTTAAGATGTAATAACATCCGAAAAAATTTCTTATATTAAATTATACTACATCTGGTTAAAATGATGCATTTATTTATTTATTTTCCAGATGTAACTACATCTGTAAAAAACCACATATGTAATTACATCTGGTTAAAATAACGCTTTATAATTTAATAATTTCATAAAATCCTGTAAATCTCCAGATGCAGTTGCACAGATGTTGTTATACTTAGATAATTAAAAAGGTGTAACTACATCTGTAGTAACATATACTTTTTACACAGATGTTATTATGATAAATGAAATTTCAGATGTTGTCATAAATGAAATTGCAAATGCTGTTGGACAGATATAGTTATACCTCAAGCCTTCCCAGAAAACGTGTGCGGTTTTTTGTTTTGTTTGTTCAGGCATAAGTATTTTATTTTAGACAACTTGGTCACGACTGTTTGCAAGTTTTTTTATATTAGGCATTCCCAAAAAAACTAAGTTTCAAAAACAAAGAGAGCAAAACTAACAAAATAAGAAATTAATATAAATTTAAATAATAATTTGTGTACTGTTTTTATTTTTATTTTTTTAGGGTGGTTGTTATTTTCAGAATGATCTTCCAACATTTTGTTTGTTTTTTATTTAAAGACAAAAGCAAAAATATAAATTGCCATCTATTTGTATAATTTTATTGAACAAGTATATTGTCCCTATATGAAAACGCCTGTTTGCGTTTGTAATGCATGTGTATATTTTTATGTATAACTTTTTTTTAATTATATTTTTTAATAATTATATTTTTTATGCACATAAGGCGTTTACTTCATACACGGAGTGTCCGTGGTTTGAATCCCAACGATGTTATTTCTTTTAAATTGTTTTTCTTTTAAATACCGCTCATATATTTGAATTGTAATTTATCCTTTCTTTTTTATATATAAAAATCTTTTTGTTGTATGTTTATTAATGATACTCTTCACATTCAGATTTTTTATACCATTTAAGCCTTTCAGTGTATTTTCAAAGTAAGGCGGACACACATATATACACAATTTTTAAGCAGTGTATTTAGTGTGCATTTAGTTCTACCTGCCCCCTCCCTTTTGGTCTACTATGTTAAAGATGAACAATTATTAATAATAATTATTATTAATTGTTATGCAATTATAATAATAATTTTTTACATATAAATCACCAGTAACATAGTAAACCTAAAGGGAGGGACGAGTAGAAAAACAAAAAAATTTTGGTTGAGGTGGGATTCAAATCATGGACATTTCGTATATGAAGGTAACGCCTTAACCAAATAAGCTAATTGTGAGTAGCTTATAATCAATATAATTATAATTAAAATTAAAATCAATATAATTATAATTAAAATTAAAATAAATATAATTATATGATAAAAAGTTATATATAATAGTTTAAGAGTTATATATAATAGTATAAAAAACTAGGGGCTATTCTAGACCGTTTTTGACAGCGTCAAACGTATTTTGACAGCGCCGATTTGGGTGCCTCTTAAATTAAAATTTACAAAAATTTTTTTTTATGTTTTTTTTAATGTTTTTACACAAATTTTTGGGTTTTTTTTGGCAAAAAAAAGGCAGACTTTCCGATAAAGTCTGTTGAAATGAGAGGGTACCACCGCCCAAATCTTTTTTTCTAGAATAGGCCCTGTATATGCATGCATTACATAGGCGTTTTTATATACAGACAATATATACTTGCTACATTAAAATTATACAAATATATTTTACAAACAGATAACAATTTAGATTTTCACTTTCCTTTTTAAAAAAACAAACAAATAAACTATAGAAAAATCATTATTTTTAATGTCAACTTATCCAAATTTGTTGCTGAAAATAACAACCATCCTAAAGAAACAAAAATAAAAACAGTACATAACTTATCTAAATTATAATTTTTTTTTTTCAATTTTTTTTATTTTCCTATTTATCTTAATTTCCTATTTTGTTAATTTTGCTTTCTTTGTTTTTAAAACTTAGTTTTTTGCATGTCTAATATAAAAAAAAAAAATTGCAAACAGTTATGACCAAGTTGTCTAAAACAAAGTACTTGTGTATTTTATTTTAGACAACTTTACAAGACAAAAAATTGCACGCATTTTCTGGGAAGGCTTGTTATATTTACAGATGTTGCTGAACAGATGCTATTAGGCATAGCAAAAACTGATGTTATTACGCTGACTCCTTAAGTGGTTTATTTATATCAAAAAGTATATTTTTTTCATAAATATATACCACTTTATTTTTTTCTCTGTTTTTAGATTGATTTGAAAAATTGAAAACTCTTTGAAAAACTCTTAGAAAAATTAAAAAATACATCAAATAAAAAAGGCAAAACTGGAGTTTTTTGATTGTTTGACTTTTTTGCTTAAAAGATTCATTTTTTTTTTTTTTTTTTGCATAACAGTAAATATCACTATAATATTAATATGATCAAGTTCTTAAGATTTTTTCGTTGCAACTAAATTAAAAAACGCTAAAGTCATTTTAGAAATAAACTAATGATTGTATAATAAACTGCAATACTTTTTTAAAGGCACAGTTATTGCAAAAAAGAAAATTTAAAAAAGAGCGTGAATTAAAATGTAAATGTTTTTAATAAGATTGGACTAACAGATTGATTTCTTAAATAAAAAATCAGTTTTTTATAAAAATGCCATTATTGAAAAATAAATTGATAATATTCTATTGTAAATCTTTTTTTTTCAGTTTATAAATTTCAATTAATAATGTTAAACATTTTTAAAAATACATTTATAAAAGTAAAACATTCTTTTTAATTTTATTATGAAAATTATTATTAAATAATAAAATAATCCTTTTATTTTTGAATCTTTAATTAATGTAATAATTCTTAAATTTCCGGCTTTCTAGTACCAATGATAGCAGTGCCTGAAATTCTGGATTTTTGTGATCAAACTCTGTTAGTAGAATCTCAACCATATGCTATTAATTTATTGGAAAAAGAAATTGCATTATCAGATTTGGTAGGTTAACTATCAAAACTGTATAAACTTTTAACTAAATGCAATTTAAAACTAGAAAAAGTGAAAAATACAGACAATTTGTATTTGGAAAAACTTCTCATTAAAATCACAGAGCTTGCCTGTAAGGTAAAAATTTCAGCCAAGAATATACTGGACACCACTGACCTAACTCTTTCTAACATTTTAAGCAAAAGAAAATATGAACATATATATAAACTTTTACTACAAAAATGTCTTTCACATTGAAAATGATGATTAAAGAAACTAATCTTTTTGAGAATAGAAAACGACAACCAAAAAGATTCATAACAGAGTGTTATTTGTTAAATTCCTAAAATCTAATCGAGCATGGACCACATCAAATAAAATTTAATAACTTTCCTATCAATAAAAATATTGATAAAAGGAAGCAAAATTGTTTTTCATCATTGTGGTACAATGAATGCTCTCACTTAAAGTGAAGCAAACTTTAGGATTCATTCGCATTCTGCTACATGTTTTCTCTTTCCAAATGGATCAGGTAAAGAGAATAGTAAAGTTGCTTGGGTTAAAAATGGTACTTGCAAATAGCATAAAATAAAAAGTCAAGGAAAGAATATCTTTCTTTCCTTACTCTTTATTATATGCTATTTGAATAGAGGAAAACTTTCAGAACATTTTTCATCAAAATCACACAAAGCTTCATGATTAAATATTTGCAATTAATGCAATAGTTCTCAACATATTTATCTTCAATAAAGAAACTAAGGCAGATTGTTATAAGTGAAAAAGAAGAAATGAAGTCTAACAAGTGTGTTATAAAAGTTCTTATTAACTTTGCTCAAATATTGGGTAGGTAAGGAATAGCATTTTATGAATTTTTATTGATTTAGCTCAAATATTGGGTAGGTAAAGAATAGGATTTTATGAAAATGATTAAGATGAAAATTGGACATAATTACTTTACTTGGTACTTAAAGTATGGTTGAGCAACATACAACTCAAAAAATTCCATGTGACATACATGAGTGCTAAATCCCAAAATGACTTTATTTATTTGCTTAAACATGTTCAAAGCTAAATTGTTTCCAAGGTAATCAAGCTTCAATGCTTTCGATTATAGCAGAAGTGACACAGTGATAAATAAACATTTGCAGGTGCGTGGATAACAACTGTAATATTAAAGAAAGAATTGTGCAATTAAGCCGATACTCATTAAAGAAGTCATTACAAAAACAATTTTATAGTGACTTTTTTAATGATGATTCTTACTGATGAGTTGCAGAAAGGTGATTTGAACATTTAAAATGCTAAGATGACTGTATTTTCTCCAATACTTGTAATTACATAGCAAGGCTGCTTCAAAGTATATTCAAATAAAAGATTACAAAATGTTTGACTATTAAGTGCAACTTTGTTTAAATAATCATAATTAGGATTTATAACAATTAGTAAAATTTAAAGAATTCTTTTTTTGTTTTGTTTTAATAATTCTACATTGTTTTTTGGATTCTACAATTTTTTTTATGAACTTGAGAATAACTTATATAAATATAAATTAATATTGAATATTTATTTATTATATAATTAGTTATCGTAAGAATAAATTAATTAATATAAATTAGATTTTCAATGTTATTTAGCAAATCAAAACTTATGTACTTTGTAAAACTTGAGGAATTTTAAGCTGGTTACATAGAAAACAAAACACATACACATTTAACATACAAAATAATTAGTTTAAACTTTATAAAACAATATCAATTTACAAAAAAAAAAAAAAAAAAAAAAAAAAATTTATTAGTTTTAACTTTCAAATTAAATTTCATAATTTATAACTAATTTATTTGTTAAATTAATTTGCAAGATCAAAAAATTATTAGTAAAAAATAAATTTGAGCATCTATTTAACTAAAACCAAATTTAAAATCAGCAGTTTTTAGCTACCTTACCAAAAGTTCTTTGTAAAATTCTTCTGGGTGAGTTAAGACTTGTATATCTTTTCCATTAGCTAGAAAAATAGGAGTGGCAGATTCAACACCATAAAACCACTTTTTGCTTAATTCCACAAATTGTGCAACAGTTTGTTGCATATTTTTTGGTGTAATAAAAATATACCTCTTGAAAGAAAGTTGTGAATTAATTAAATATAAGCTAACACCAGTCTTACAGCAATGATTAACTACATAACATGACATATTTCTAAATTTTGAAAACAATTGATTATATATATATATATATATATATATATATATATATATATATATATATATATATATATATATATATATATATATATATATATATATATATATATATATACACATATATATATATATATATATATATATATATATATATATATATATATATATATATATATTCTTATGTTAGTGTATTCGACAAATAGAGTGCTCAATGTTCTTAAAAAACATTAAGCACTCTATTTGTAGAATACACAAACATAAGAATATAAAGAAAGCAATAAAACACTTAGTGAAAACACTTAATAATAATATAAAAATTAGATGAGTGTTTTTACTTATTTATGTCATAATTATATATAATTATATATATTAAATAATGTAATTATGTTACTTAATTATGTCTGCTCTTAATTCTATTAAAGGGTTGCCACTCAAATTTCAAAAGTTTTTCCCTGAGCACTCATGTTTAGAATTAAATAAATAGAATTTTCCTATGATATGAGCTGTATCAATTTCTTCAGTTTTCTCTGACTTTCAGTGTATGAAAATTGTCAACCTTTGAAAAATCATGTAAATTTCAATTTGTCAAAACTTTGCTTTTCACTAATTTTTCATCAATGTATAAAACTTATATAATAGCATAATAAATCTTATTTTGATTAGATTCATTTGATAATGTCTTGAGTTTGATTGATTCAAAACAACTGGAATTGCTATGATTGCCAAGTCTAGTGGAATGCATTTAAAAAACTTTTCTAATTTTAATTAAGAAATTTAAAAAAAAATTTAATTTTATCTTTAATAAAGAGTACTTTTATTGAAAGCTTGAAAACAAATAAACATATCTTTCTTTTTTATAAAAATATAATTTTTAAGATCACTACTTTTTTTGCACCTTTTTGAATTACTGATGGTTTAAAAACTGAGCTAAAAAATTTACTTTCCCTTGAAATTATTGTGTGACTAGTTAATCAGTCTGATAGTGTTTTAATCAGGCTGGCAACATAACTGAAAAACTGTAAAAAAAACAGTCTGGAAAACATTTACTGATTTTAGAACATTAAAAAACTTCTGAATAATAAAATCAAAGACAGCTAGGACTTTAACTCACAAAATTGAAGTAATTTTACAATGTTGTCCAATATTTCAATTAAACGATCCATCAAGTTGCATAGAAACTTAATAGATACCCATTTGACACATTGACACTGTTGGAATTATCTCTCCTAGTATCAGGCAATATTTGTTATGCTTCCTTTAGAATACTTTCAGAAATCTATAATGTACTAAGAAAATTTAAACACTTCATGTATTACATGAAAACTTTAACTCCCTGGTCAACTATTGAATTTTATTCAACTCATTTCTATATATCGAGAGCTCTTTGTAAAAGTTTCAATTTTTATTAGTTTGTAAAATTTTAAATTATGATTTTTGAAAAAAAAATGGAAATAAAATCCCAAGTATTCTGTAAATGTTAAAAAAAAAAATTCTAGATTTTTCCAGGTTTTCCCTGAAATTCATGCTTTTTTCAGGTTTTCTAGGTTGAGTCACAACCCTAAATTATGTTTAAACATTTTTTTCTTTCACAGGAAATCTTTTTTACAACATGAATGATGGTATTCTTTGAATAATTTAATAAAAAACAATCAAAAAACTCAAGTTTTATTTGATCAAAAATTTTGTTTAAATATGTCTTTTAAATTGCCTTAAGTTTATAGTAGATGAGCTTGAAGATTAATGTTGAGATATTAAATTTGTTTGCCGTCATCATTGATGCTTTAGCAATTATGTCATAATTGCCAAAAGAGCATCAATAAAAAAAGCAAACAAATTTATCCATTATGCCATATTACTGGCTGCCTCATTTGTATTTTAAACAAAAATTCTGGAGTATTTCAAAACTATTCCAGAATTTTGGCTCATTTTTGGCAACTATAATTATCTATATATTATTTAGTAGAGCAACTCTGAAATATGAAGTATTAGTGAGCCTTCAGTATCCTGAGTTTTTATCACAAAACAAAATTTAATAATTTGTGGATGATTATAAACATGTTTAATGGCAAAATCTACTATGCCACACTAGATTTTGTGATTAAACATGTATATATGTAATTCATAGTCTATGAATTTTTTATTTTTATCTTTTTTTTTATTTTTGACAAGAACAGAAAAATGAATAACCTTTTTTGAGGCTCTGTTCAAACCATCCAAAAACAATGGTAAAATTAGAAGTGAGTTACAATACAACTTTTTTTGATAAATCAACCAACCATTTATTTCACTTTATAAAGTAAATACAAAGTTAGGATCAAACAGTTATTTAACTTTCAAAATGTGACGACCTACAAATATTCATTATAAATTTGACAAAACATATCACATAAATAATAATATCGAGTAATATAATAATAATAATAATAATAATAATAATAATAATAATAATAACAATAATAATAATAATACCAATAACAACAATAATAATACCAATAATAATAATAAAAACAAAGTAATTTAAAAATAGGTACTTAAATAAAAAATAATAAATAATAAAAGAAATGTAGAAAACTAAAAAAAAACAAACTAAAAAATAATAAATAACAGGCTCTTAAATAGAACGATAACAATACAGTAACAAGAACATCAGCAATAGCATGTTATTTAAGAAAAAAGGCAAATCAACTTGAATTTTACAGGCATAATGAATAAGGTCAAAATGACATGAAAAACAATTATTGAGATAACACAGCAGAAGCTTTACTTATTATTTTTATCTTGGATAAATTTCTTGACTTTGTTGATGAAGAGGGTTTTACTTCCTTTTTTTAGATATGTGGTCTTGATTTTAGAGGGTAGATAAATCCGTGATTTTATCATGGAATTATCCAAAATCCATGGGTATATGTACAGAATATTTATACATAGATATATTATATAAAATTAATGCCATACAAAATATGAATTTGATCAATTTTCTCATCAAGACTTGAATCAATTTGCTCTTCAAGACCAGCTTTAAAAATAGCAGATTGATTTGAAATGAGGATATGATCATAACAATAAGATTCATGTTATTGTTATGATGATATCCTCATTTGAAATCAATCGGGTATTTTTAAAGCTGGTAAAAGGTTGCAAAACACAACTCTTTTTTAACCTAAAGTAGCTTTTTTTTTTTCAATCTTTCTTGATCTTTCATTTTTTCATACCAAAATAGAGAAGTCAACACATTTTTTCATACCAAAATAGAGATGTCAACAAAACTGCCATCTCCTCACTTAATAAGATTAAATAGCGGGACAATCTTTGTCAGACTGGGCTACTTTTTAATCCATCTTTGAATTCATCTTTCTATGATTCACACTATTTACTTTGTATCTCCTCCCCCTCCTCCACTTACCCCTCGTTTTTACATGTTGTAATCGTTTTTACATGTTTTTACCAATGATATATTGAAAATAACTTATTCTTTATAATAATATACCAATGATATATTAAAAATAACTTATTCTTTATAATAAGTTATTCTTAATATATCATTGGTTTTTATGTTGGGTAAAGCGGCGTAAAAAAATTTTATTATTTTGCTCGAAAAAACTCTACGGTGGTGAAAATGAAAAGTTACGCTTAATAATTCTGAGGTTAGCAGACGTTAACATAACTCCAAAGTAGGTCGATGTTTTCGCTTACCGTATTTTTTTTATTTGTTCGAGTTAATGCAAAACAGCAAGGTTAGCGTTCTTTAGGATTATCCAAAATAAGGTTTTGAATTTTCAAAAAAACGCAGACCTAGAACGGATTTAGTGGCTATTACGCATGCGTTCAAATTATAAACCTTATTCTGTATCATCCACGCTGAATTTGTTAATAAAGAAGCTTCGCTTATGGAATTATTATTATACAAACTTTGACGAATTGAAGTAGAATAATAAAGTTATACAATTATTAAAAGAAATATGTTGTGCAATTGAATTCTCTAAATCGAGTTGTTGTAAAAATGTTTGGTTGTTTATTTGGTATTTACTTATGGTATTTATGTTAATATGGTACTCTGGTAATTATTATTACTATTGTTATTATGGTACTATAGCAATTAGTTTGGTGAATGTTTTTAATAGGGATCGAATTATCAAATCACCAAGTCATTATATTAGTAGAGATATATAAAGATTAAAACATATATATGTATAAATATATATATATATATATATATATATATATATATATATATATAAATTATATAATATTATATATGATATTATATATATATATATATATATATATATATAATATATATATATATATATATATATAAATATATATATATATAAATTATATAATATTGTATATGATATTATATATATATATATATATATATATATATATATATATATATATATATATATATATATATATATATATATACATACATATACATATATATATATATATATATATATATATATATACTATATATATATATATATATATATATATATATATATATATATATATATATATATATATATATATATATATATATATATATATATATATATATATATAATTTATATAATATTATATATAATATTATGTATGATATTACATATATATATATATATATATATATATATATATATATATATATATATATATATATATATATATATATATATATATATATATATATATATATATATATATATATTTATATATATTTTGCTATTGTTTTGCAGTGGAAGCTATTAAAGTTAGTCTTAATAGAAGGAAGAAATATTTTATATAAGTGCAAGGGAGTGCTAGATAAGTTATAATATTTAGACAGATGTCCAGTATTGAGAAGTAGTGTATGAAAGGGGAGTTTTATTTAATGATTAAGTGTTGTTTCAATGTTATGTAAGTTGTGTTAGTTAATATGTTTTGTGTTTGTAGTGTTCTAAATGTTAAAGTTTTATATGTTATTTAATGTCTTTATTAGTGTGAATCTGCATGTTTGTAAATACTTTTTGTTTTGAATGCAATGCATCTTATTAGAACTGCACTGAGCAGTGAGCGCTTTAGAGATGCATAACAAGTTAAAAGTGTGTAGCAGATTGAGATAAAAGTACACAAGGACTGATGTCCGTTGAAATAAAGTGCCTCTAAGAAGAGAAATAATGAAAATTAATCATAGTTATATGTAGTTAATATAAACAGAAATAATAAACCATAGCCAAGGAAAGTACATGTAATTAATTATTTTGATAATGAAAGGTTATAGTAGAGTTACTGTAGAGCATAAATGTGATGCATAAAGTGTCTGCCATGGAGCATGGATACCATTTGTTTTATGTTATTAGCAAAGTAAACAAACATTATAAATGCGCATCATTGATGCCTCATGGTATGAATTCTGTGATCTGATGTGGTTTATGGTCTGGTTCAAAATGGTAATATTGATATGTTTAGAAAAAGTTGTTTGTGTTATGTATAATTTCCATTTAGTTAATATGTTTTAATTTAGTTTTTTGTTTTATATTTATTGTGAAGCCGTGAACTTTAGTCATATGCGGACAAATAGGAACAATGTTTTTATATATATATATACATACGTGGCGATATTAAAATGTATAATAAAGATGGCTTACTTATAAGAATATATATATTTAAATATAGCACAGTGTTTTATTAACGACACAACAATGGCGCTACGAGTAGGATCCGATTTGACTTTAGATGATCCAGACAATGCAGAAGCATGGATTAGATGCTTTTCAGCATCCGCACGTTCAAAGAAATTAAAAGATGAGATAAATGGTAGCTATGAGATAACAGATTTATGGCAAAAGCAGGCATTGAAGCAATTACAAAGATTTCCCTTATGGTTTATCCAGAAGAATTAGAAAATATGATGTTCAATGATATTAAAACTGTTGTTATGTCCTGTTTGAGGCCTCTAAAACGACTAATTATTGCTGAAAGAGTTCAATTTTTAGCATTAAAACAGCAAAACAATATAAACATCGTATCATGTGCACAAAGATTACGCGGAGCTTCACGCTTTTGCAACTTCGAAAAATTGGCCAAAGCGACGGAAGATGATTTGATTCAAATGAGATTGGTTGATGGCCTCCAATCTTTTGATCAGAGAGTTAAAGCTCTAGAAATGATACAGAGTGGAGAATCGCCTAAACTAGGAGCATGTATTGATTTTATCAGGCAACTGGAGCAAATATTCTGTTTTAGTATACAAAACAACATTGAAAACAGCATAGACCTTCCTTCAGTTAATTACATTGATAAAAATAAAGAAAGAACAATTAAATGCAAGTTTTGTGGCCTTCAACACCCACCTAGGAAATGCCCAGCATTTGGGAAGAGTTGTAAAAAATGTGGAAAGCTGAACCACTTTAAAAACGTATGCAAAGCAAACATTAAATATGAAAAAATAGTAGAGGAAATAGAGAATGATGATGCTAGTGTGTATTCCATTAACATGAATGATAAAAACTCAGAGATTAGTGTAAAAATTAATGACTACAATATAAAAATGCAAGTTGACACCAGAAGTCAAGTCACAATTATTCCAAAGAATTTTTGGGAAGTAATGTCTAAACTGAAATTACAAAAATGCTACCTTCGCCTGAAACAGTTTGATGGTACAGTTATAAAAGTCCTAGGTGAATTTGAGGCAACTTTGGAAACCGAATCAAAAATGAATATCGTACGAATTATTGTTGTAGACTGTACAAAAAATCATGGTCTAATTGGTATGGATGTATTAAATATCAACGTCACAAAATTAGTTAATAGTATGGAACCTATCGTTCAGGGCCGTTTAATTAATTACAAAGCAAATATTCTATTAAAAAAACAACACGCAACCCACTTATTTTGAATCTCGACCTCTTCCTATTCACATAAGACCACTAGTGGTAGATAAACTTATTGGAATCATACAGCAAGGGTTGCTTCAAAGGGTTCCTCCTGGTGGAAGCAGATGGGTTTCACCACTTGTGGTTGTTAGAAAAACAGACGAAGATTTGCGCATTTGTGCGAATTACAAAATAGGTGTTAACCAAAAAATATGCTCAGACTCATATCCTATCCCAAACATTGAGAACGTATTTTATAAATTGGCAGGGATGAAATATTTTGCTAAAATTGATCTCAAGGGAGCTTATCATCAAATTGAGATGGACAAAGAGGCACAAGAAATAACGACAGTTAATACCCCTATTGGATTATTAAGATGGACTTGTTTACCTTATGGAATAAAGACTGCAAGTGTGATATTTCAAAGAGCGATTGAATCTGTTGTTGGCG